ACAAACCGTGAGATGGTGACCTGAGCCGAAGTCAGATGCTTAACCGACTGAGCCACCCAGGCGCCCCCCTCCTCGTGCCTCTTTAATGCTGACCTGATCCTGTTCCCACCTGCCCCGTGGACAGTGTCCCTGCTCATCCCACAACCACCATCCCCACGCTCAGCAAGTCCCAGACCGACGGTAGCATCATCCCCTAACGTCTTGCTCTACGTGTCCCCATCTCAGGGCTCCCCCGCCAGCCACTGAGCCACCCCGTCACAGACCGGTCATCACTGTCTCCTCTTTCTCCCCCCACACATCCCTCCCACGTCCCAACAGTCGCCAAAGTACCACTTCCTCCCGGCCCACGGCCCCCTCCGCAGGCAGCCCTCCTTCTCTCTGGACCCCAAGCCCCGCCTCCCCCGCTCTGCCTTCCCCGACAACATCTCAGGACACTCTTTAACCCCCACATCTGACCACAGCCCTCCTTGCTTAAAACTCGGGACACTGTTCCTGCTGCAGACAAAGGCCAAGCCAAGCCCAAAGCCTGCAGAGGGACGAGGATCTTGGGCTCTAGAGCCTGCTGCTGAATGAGTGGTTACGTCCCTTCTCCTGAGCGCAGGCTGTCCCTGACTGCTTCGTGACAGCACAGTGCGTTTCTCCGAGTGCCTGCTGGGTGGCCGGCCCCGTGCCAGGCCCCAAGCACACAGCAGAGAGTCTTTCGGGCCCTGGCCAACCCTCCCAGCGTCCTCCGCCATCAGTTAGGGCCGAGCTTGACCTTTGAGAGAGGGAAGGGAGCTAGACTGGCATTCACAGCTGGCCTTGTGGTCGCTAGGAGCTGGCCCGGCAGCCCCAGCTAGGCCCTGGTGCGCTCCTGCGAGACATAAATAATTTCACAGAACGCGGGCGTTGGACAAGGCCACTCCGTGACCGTGGTGGGACGAGACAAAACAAGCTGAAGGCAGGCAAAACATGAGCACTGTCCAAACCACAGCAACAACCAGGCGTTCGCTCTTCCTGGAGAGTCTGAGCACTGCCGTTCTTTCCCGAGACTTTCTGCGGAAAAACTAAGATCCTCAACAACAGAATTCTCTCTCCCCCCTCTGCTTTCTGACAGCATCCAGGATCCACCTCCTCCTTTTCCCAGCAGACAGAAGGACGAGGCGGAAACTGTATTTGCATCAGCCTGGCGGGTGCCTGGCGGGTGCCCAACGC